GATCAAGAACCCTGTGACAGTGTCTCAGCCTCTTCCGAGCTGCTCCAGAGTCTGTATTCACCCCCCACGTGCCAAGGGGGCACCCACCCTGCTTCTGACAACCCTGACACGATTGCTAGCACAGCGGGGGAGGTGGCATCCACCAGCCCAGGCATCGACATTGCAGATGGTAAGTGTTTGCCCTGAGGCGCAAGCTCTGCTGCTCACTCCCTGCAGCCCCCACAAAAAGGACCAGCCCCTTGCTGTGTGCAGTCCCCGTCCCAGCCCAGAGCCTGCTGATCTGTCTGCCTCTCACTCCATGCAATTGTGTCCTGCTCTCTCTACACGGACAGGCCATGGGCAAGGCCAGTTATTGTAAGGAATGATCGTCAGCTCACAAGTAATGAGCCCATTCATGGAAATTTCAGGAAGCACCAAAGAATCCTGAGCCATCCGGAATAAAAAGGCCACAGTGGCTGGTACTCTCTTTTCATCACATCCGTATAATTTCTTCTTTATCCCTCAATTGGACGGGACTTTCTGACGTGGGACTGAGGAGCAGGGTGTCACATCCATGCACCACAGGAGGGCCTGGATGCATGCACCCGGGCCCAGCAGTGTGTTCCAGGCCCAGAGAAGTTCTCAGAACGTAGAAGTTATTTTTATCCGAGGTGAATGAAGTGAAAAATGCATGTGCACCTGTCAAAAGGAAGGGCAGATTGTAGCTCATGGGAAGTAGGCAAGATGTAGCAGATTCATTAGGGCATTGCTTCCTGGGCAGAGCGCGCCAGCCCAACTTTCCAAATGACAGTACCGATTCCAGCTTATACCGAGAGTGAATGACAGTACAGTGCAGACGGAGGTCTCCCGCATCTCCCTTTTTTGAAAGCCACACTGCCTCTCTGTTCTTAAATTAACTTTTTGGCTTGTTATCATTAGCATCCATGGTTTTAAAATGCAGCATTTCTTATGAACTGGGAATACAATCACAATCGGTTCCCAGAAAATGGATGTTTAAGAGGGAGTTAGTTTATTTGATTATTAACTGATAGGCGGAACTTAACCTTCTCCTCTTCTCACTGATTTCAGAAACTAAAGATATTTTCATACTTTGAGGCTTGTCATTCCAGCTCCTTGTGGTGCTTTCTGGTTATACTAAGATAATAACCGTCTCTTTTACAGAGATTCCTCTCATGGAAGAAGATCCCTAGATGGGCAGAATTCTGATGATTCTTCTGTCCCTTTGGTGAAAGGAAACTTGTACCTTGGAGTGAAGCCACAGAAAGACAGAACTTGGGAGAGGGACGCTGTCTGATTTCTCTCCATGGGAACAGTGATTCTCATCCTACATCTCGGACTCCACAGCGAGGCTGACGAGCTGCAGTGGCGCTGCTTTTAGATAAGACTTGAGGATTTGCCAAGAGCAGTGGGGAGCAAAGGGCAGAGGGGAAACCCCTGTGCGGTCCCGGATGGAGGTGGTAAGTGTGTTTCACGCTGTGGAACATGGGGGGATTCCATGCACATACCACTGAATCACACGTCCCGTTGACTTCTGTTACCAGTACTCCCTGCCCCCTCTGAAAGCATGTCACATTGTATACATTTGCTTCTAAAATCCGCTCAGACTGTCTCTGGACTCCAAATTCGGATGGGCGAGCCTCCGTGGAAAGACTGGCGAGCTGT